CGATGGGTAGAAGAAAAATTATCACAGGTAACAAACTTTGTAATACAATGAGCCGTACCTGAAGTTGGGAGAGGAACGGTGGAGCAAGCTGGTGTACTGCTAACAGTGTGCATGACAAAGTCGCGAAGATGTGACGGGGGACGATGATCGCGTTGGCTGCGGCGAGGAGGGTACCTAGCCGGAGACTGGTCAGGATTGGGTTCGGGTAAAATGACTGGTTGATCGGCAGGGGTGGCTTCGGGTTGTTCACTGTCAGCGTGGCTGGCTTCGGGTTCGTCAGTGTCGGTGGGAATGGAAGCAGGGATATTGGGTAGTATGGCTTGTGGGGATAGATTGGGCAAGAGAGGTGATATGCACATATTTTATACACTATTTAGACATATTTTGAAGGAGTTTTGAGTCCCAATTGAATTTAATATTTATATTTTATTTCAATTTTCCGTTTTATTTGTGTAGAGCGGTCCTATGCTTGGTTTTATATGTTTTGCAGGCATTTTGAGGTCATTTGGATGCATTTAGGATAATTGCAAGGACGGAAAATAAACATGGAAGTTTGGGACCAAAATAAATGGAAGAAACTTGAAGGAATGAAGGAATTAAACAAAAATAAAGCATAAAACAGGGAATAGTCGGCCTTGGACTGAACAAACCCATACGCACGGAGAGCATTGGTGAGTTTGGAAAACCAACATCGAGGTGCTTGTCGAAGGCCATAGAGAGATCTGTGCAGTCGACAAACCAAACCCTGCCGTCGAGATGCAAAACCCGGGGGAAATTGCATGTAAACTTCGTCCTGAAGATCACCGTGGAGGAACGCATTATGGACATCCATTTGATGGAGACTCCAGTTCCGCACGGCAGCCACGGCCAACAAGGCGCGGACAGACACCAGTTTGGCGGTGGGAGCAAATGTCTCCTTGTAATCAATGCCTTCTTTCTGCCGGTTGCCGAGGATGACTAGACGGGCCTTATAACGTTCAACACTGCCATCGGATTTATGTTTAATCTTATAAACCCATTTGGAGCCGATGGCCTTTTTATGCGGTGGTAGAGGAACCAGGGACCAAGTTCTGTTTGCGGCAAGAGCGTCTAGTTCATCCTTCATGGCGGCACGCCATTGAGGATGTTGAACCGCTTCCTTGAAGCTAGTGGGCTCCTCATCTGCAGTAATTGCTGCCAAAAAGCTTCGATGGGTAGAAGAAAAATTATCACAGGTAACAAACTTTGTAATACAATGAGCCGTACCTGAAGTTGGGAGAGGAACGGTGGAGCAAGCTGGTGTACTGCTAACAGTGTGCATGACAAAGTCGCGAAGATGTGACGGGGGACGATGATCGCGTTGGCTGCGGCGAGGAGGGTACCTAGCCGGAGACTGGTCAGGATTGGGTTCGGGTAAAATGACTGGTTGATCGGCAGGGGTGGCTTCGGGTTGTTCACTGTCAGCGTGGCTGGCTTCGGGTTCGTCAGTGTCGGTGGGAATGGAAGCAGGGATATTGGGTAGTATGGCTTGTGGGGATAGATTGGGCAAGAGAGGTGATATGCACATATTTTATACACTATTTAGACATATTTTGAAGGAGTTTTGAGTCCCAATTGAATTTAATATTTATATTTTATTTCAATTTTCCGTTTTATTTGTGTAGAGCGGTCCTATGCTTGGTTTTATATGTTTTGCAGGCATTTTGAGGTCATTTGGATGCATTTAGGATAATTGCAAGGACGGAAAATAAACATGGAAGTTTGGGACCAAAATAAATGGAAGAAACTTGAAGGAATGAAGGAATTAAACAAAAATAAAGCATAAAACAGGGAATAGTCGGCCTTGGACTGAACAAACCCATACGCACG